ATTACGTTGCATGTTGTGGGTTTGCGTGACAATAGCTGGCGTTCTGCAATTTATGTTCTGCTGTACAAAAAAAAAAAAGCTTTAGTAGGTGTGCATGTGCGTGTGTGTGTGCTTACATGTGTGCTGGGAAATGTACATACAAAAAACATATTTTGGTACGTACGCACACCCAGGTTGTATAGGTATGCAGAATATGTAATTCAACAATTCTGTTCTATTTATTTGTACGGACAGGTGAACATCACTCATACTGCAATATGCATATATATATATATATATATATATATATATATATATATATATATATATATATATATATATATATATTTTTTTTTTTTTTTTTTTTTTTTTTTTTTTTTTTTTTTTTTTTTTTTCTGATTGGATGCCCTTCCTAATCAACTGCGTTTCGGCCGCGGCGGTGATTTACCCTACGACACCTGCGTTTGACTTCCCAAGGCGATATGTCGTTTTCTCGGGCTCGAGCAAGCGTCAGAGCGCAGGTATTTTTACGACTGCCGCGACAGGGAATTGAACTCGGGACCACGAGGGTCAGAGTCCAGTGCTCTAACCACTGAGCTATCGCGGCAGTCGTAATTATATATATATAATTATATATATATATATATATATATATATATATATATATATATATATATATATATTTATATATATATATGTACATATATATATATATATATATATATATATATATAAATATATATATATATATATATATATATATATATATATATATATATATATATATATATATGTAAGTATGTATGTATGTATGTATGTATGTGCGTTTGTGTGTGAGTGTGCGTGTGATCCTAATCATCAGGATAGCACCTCTGCAGTTTCTTCTCCATCTCCTCCTTCTCTCTGACAGTGCTTGGCCCTGTCATATCTTTGATTTCTTCCTCAGAGGTTTTAAATATCACCGAGCAGATGTATGTCAACATTATAAACGTCCTCCTACACCACACACACACACACACACACAAACACACACACATACACATACATACATACATACATACATACATATATATATATATATATATATATATATATATATATATATATATATATATATATATATGTATATATGTATGTATATATATATATATATATATATATATATATATATATATATATACATATATATATATATATATATATATATATATATATATGTATGTATATATATATATATATATATCGATAGACAGATAAATAAATAGATAGATAAATAGATAGATAGATAGATAAGTGTATAGATAGATAGATAGCTATAGATAGATAGATAAGTGGATAGATAGATAAATAGCTATAGATAGATAGATAAATATATTATTACTTAGTTATACAGATATGGAGATAGACTGATAGACAGCTAAGTAGGTACTCACTGCATAAACTAAGGAAATACACAGCGTTTCGAACCGATCAAGAATTTCCCATCAGTTAAAAAAAAAATATATATATTGCAGCAAAGATGACTATAAGAACAAGAGCTGCATCAGGTCACGGGGGGGGGGGGGGGGCAGAGGTCAAAGAATCGAGGGAAGGCTCTGCTTACTAATGACGGCGTAAGGCCATCCAGGAGAGATTCTAACTTTTTCTCACGTATTGAATTCAGAGATTTAATCGTTAATCTGTTTATCTGTTTACTTTAATTTCTCTCTCTAGGAAAAGGGAGATAGAGATTTTTTTTTTTTTTTTTTGCTTTTAAGTTTGTATTTGAGTGTCACATTATCTTCTTTCTTGATTTTTGAGCTTTTATTTATTTATTTATTTTTTTGCAAAAGATTCCTTAATTAGAGTTTTGTCTTTATGTATGTATACATACACACACACACACACCACACACACACACACACAGCACACACACACACACACACATATATATATATATATATAATATATATATATATATATATATATATATATATATATATATATATATATATATGTATGTATGTATGTATGTATGTATGTATGTATGTATGTGCGTTTGTGTGTGAGTGTGGGCGTGTGTGAGAGTGGGCGTGAGTGTGTGAATGTGTAGGTGTAGGCGTGAGTGAGTGCGTAAGTGAGTGCATTTGTAGGTGTGGACGTGAGTGAGTGCATGTGTGAGTGTGGGCGTGAGTGAGTGCATGTGTAGGTGTGGGCGTGAGTGAGTGTTTGTGTGAGTGTGGGCGTGTGTGAGAGTGGGCGTGAGTGAGTGTTTGTGTGAGTGTGGGCGTGTGTGAGAGTGGGCGTGAGTGAGTGTTTGTGTGAGTGTGGGCGTGAGTGAGTGTTTGTGTGAGTGTGGGCGTGTGTGAGAGTGGGCGTGAGTGAGTGTTTGTGTGAGTGTGGGCGTGAGTGAGTGTTTGTGTGAGTGTGGGCGTGTGTGAGAGTGGGGCGTGAGTGAGTGCATGTGTAGGTGTGGGCGTGAGTGAGTGTTTGTGTGAGTGTGGGCGTGTGTGAGAGTGGGCGTGAGTGAGTGTTTGTGTGA